CTAGGAACCATCTATAAAAAGCAATTAATACACACGTGGTCAGTGACAATTATACGGTAGCATCAGGGGTTAAAATGAAAATACATATTCATTGCGCAAACCATCCCAATAATAATACATACCTTAAATAAAGAAGTATTCCGATCTCAGAAATATATCAGTAATCAAGGATTTAATTTTGTGAATTCTTTTAAATATAGCGGCCGACAACGAGTGTTAGACAGAGAACGAGCGAGTATTTGTTTATACCGGAGAAAGATATCCGTGCCAACCGGAGAAATACACCTGTGCCAACCGGAACAATTACCCGCGCCAACCGGAATAATCACCCGCGTCAATTTTGTTCGACCCGCGCCAGTTTTGTTCGACCCGCGCCAGTTTTGGTTGACCCGCGACCCGCGCCAAATAGACTATCCCGTGGGCGGGATAGATAGTATATACTGTAGATGCGTAGAATGGTAGCTAAATTTTAGATTAATGAATCGACGAAGAGGTAGATATAAATGTAGCAGGTGTAGGTTCGAACTGAAATATGAGAGTAAAAAACTACTGAGCTAAATTGCTTAAACTATGCAGAAAAACACAATGTCAATGTCATTAACCAACTAACTATAAACAATAAACAATATATAACGAATAACTCATAAACTTACGTACTTTGGTTTACATGCACTTGTACTCCAATTGTCGTAGATAAATTTTAGTAATTTGCGCGCAATTGAACGTCTTTACCATACGACAGTCAAACTTAAATTAAATGTGTGACCTAGTGTCACGCAAAAGCTACCAAGGCAGTGTAGCCTGAAGGCAATTAGCTATAGCTAATAGTAGCAGCAGCAGCTGGTTTGAGGTAAGGGGGCTCAAGTCACGAAAATCGTCCGACAATTTTTTAATGGGCCGTTCATTAATTACCGACACTACTTCGCACATTAATGCATGTAGCCAATCCTTCGTCATCCAATACCTGTTCTTTGAGTAGTGCGTTCAGGACCTTCCACACTGTTTTGATACATGCATCGTTCCCATACAAGATGGCGAACAGTCATTTGGTAGAAACTTCAAACTGATGAATTATAATTTTCAGGCTCAGGGTTGAAGTAAAAACAAAAGAGCGGGGAGCTTTGTATCCCGTATCTCAGATCATATTGGTGGGATATCAGTCATCACCGTTGACTGGAAAGTTCTATAAATTAAACAGAAAAATATAAATCAAACAAATCCAATCAAATATAAATCAAATCGTTTGTAAATCAAACAGAATAATATTCAAGTGAAATAACAGAATCAGTGCACTAGCAAGGAACTTCTACTAAACATATAGAATGTAGTCCTTTAAAACGAAAGGGCATCTTAGCCCCCGTTATCCCTGCTGGTAAGAGGTAAGGAAGGAAGCCGCCCCCGCTGCATTCCTGCTCCGGTGTCTCCGGTAGTGCGCACATGAAGCACGAGGGAACTACACACGTAAAAACGCACATTCGTCAAGTAATAACAAGTCTGCGGCAGAGTCGTTACAAGTCTGTTCACAAGCTTTTAACATGCAAGATTTGTTTGCACTGCTTGCTCCAATTTGCCGATGGGACTATCTGACTTGTAATTAACAAGAGTGTTCTGACAAGTCTTATCAGATATGATAACAACATTGCTATACGAACTTGACAGCACAAGATTGTCTGAGCAATATTGTCACATCATGTTTGTACCAGCCTTTTTGGAACAGCCTTGTAGCAGGTCTTTTGATTCAACAAGTTTGTTACAACTTGTTAATAAGTTGTTCAATCTCGTCAACAGCTTGGGACAAGCAGTGCGAACAAATCTTGTTGCAAGCTTGTGGACCGACTTGCTACAAGATATGATATTTTTACACGTGTATGTGGGCAACGGAGACAGCTACAAAAGAAGAAGCCTTATTATTAATTTTTTGAATAACTTTTTTTTTTTAATTTTTTGTTAATTTTTTGAATAACTTTCAATTTAGACCTACTCTAAACGATAAGTATACAAACACAGTGATGGTCTGCAATTTTTATGATGATGAACGGTTTAAGTGACTACAAAAAATATTTGTGGCCCAAGCTATTCAGCTAAAAAGCAAATGGACATCGCCGGGTGGTAGCGCTAAAAAGTTTACATGCGATGATTTTGACACAACCATCACTTGGTATCCTGGCAAACAAAATACATTAATATTGCAGGGTAAATATTGTACGGGAGAGTTCAAGTTACGACCAATAGTTTTTTTATGTCAAATAAACAACCTATTTCCATGGACAAGCGGATTAATTTTCCGTAGAAATTGTAAGACTTTCACTGTCAAACTGATGAATTATAATTTTCAGGCTCAGGGTTGAAGTAAAAACAAAAGAGCGGGGAGCTTTGTATCCCGTATCTCAGATCATATTGGTGGGATATCAGTCATCACCGTTGACTGGAAAGTTCTATAAATTAAACAGAAAAATATAAATCAAACAAATCCAATCAAATATAAATCAAATCGTTTGTAAATCAAACAGAATAATATTCAAGTGAAATAACAGAATCAGTGCACTAGCAAGGAACTTCTACTAAACATATAGAATGTAGTCCTTTAAAACGAAAGGGCATCTTAGCCCCCGTTATCCCTGCTGGTAAGAGGTAAGGAAGGAAGCCGCCCCCGCTGCATTCCTGCTCCGGTGTCTCCGGTAGTGCGCACATGAAGCACGAGGGAACTACACGCGTAAAAACGCACATTCGTCAAGTAATAACAAGTCTGCGGCAGAGTCGTTACAAGTCTGTTCACAAGCTTTTAACATGCAAGATTTGTTTGCACTGCTTGCTCCAATTTGCCGATGGGACTATCAGACTTGTAATTAACAAGAGTGTTCTGACAAGTCTTATCAGATATGATAACAACATTGCTATACGAACTTGACAGCACAAGATTGTCTGAGCAATATTGTCACATCATGTTTGTACCAGCCTTTTTGGAACAGCCTTGTAGCAGGTCTTTTGATTCAACAAGTTTGTTACAACTTGTTAATAAGTTGTTCAATCTCGTCAACAGCTTGGGACAAGCAGTGCGAACAAATCTTGTTGCCAGCTTGTGGACCGACTTGCTACAAGATATGATATTTTTACACGTGTATGTGGGCAACGGAGACAGCTACAAAAGAAGAAGCCTTATTATGCAGGTTAAAGAATTGAATTGGATTTCATCATCAAATCTACTTTAGATATCACTTGGATGCAAGCAGCTTGCTTCACGAAGAATATACACAATGTCTGCATGCGGTGATAAACGGAAGTCCTTTTAAACCATATTTGCCCCTATTAACTCTCCGTTTTGGCGTCCCTGAGACATTACTTGCGATAAACGAAATACGGGAGTTCAAGCCACGACCAATATTCTTTTTTTTATATGAAATAAACAACCTATTTCGATGGACAAGTTGAATTATATGCCGTAGAAATTGCAAGATTTCCACTGTCAATTTAATTCATTATAATTCTCAAGCAAATAGGTGAGGTAAAAACAAAAGAACGAGGCAACTTGTATCTCAAATTATGCTTGGTGGGAAATCAGTCGTCACCGTTCAACAGTAGGGAATCGGGTTTTTCTAACGGTAGTGATCGCTTTCCTTACTTAATTATATAAAGGAGAGCGAGGGGGCGGAAGTATTTTATGGAGGGCGGGCCCTAACGAAAAAAAAACAAATGCGAAAACGACATGTGGAATCACATGCGACTCACATGTGAGTTTGGAACCGCGTTGTTTGCACGTACATACACACATGACACATACACACGCTTGTAGAAGCTTACAAACTTCTAAGTTGTTGCATGATTATTTTTATGCAAGAAAAAACACAAAAACCAAGCCTATAGATGTATTCAATTGTTGATTTCATATGTAGCGTTTAAATGATTTTAAACTTACGTGCGTAACAGTATATAGGTGCAGCAAACGCGACAGTGGGAAACACTCCTAGCTATGTTAAGATACTCATATAAATATAAAATAAAATTCTATATAAACACTACATTTAGTCATCCTACTGCGGTCCCTAATTTTCTTCCTTTTTTTCTTCGAATTTCCATTGACAGCCTTAAGTCTTTGCACTTTTGCCATAGCAGCCTTTATAATCGTATCACTTGCTTGTGGAAATTTCTTGAAGACCAAATTAAGCTGGAAAAATGAATACAGGATTGTTAATATTTTTTAAACTACTGAATTTTATCATATGAGTACTGGATATTAATAGAAATGGGTGTATAACAGACCATTGCAGACTAAAAATATTATTTTGATAAGTAAGAGACATACATAGTATGAACTGAAACATACTATTTTCACAACCTGTCAGGTTACGAAGACACATAACAACAGGCTTGGAGACAGTCTTTTTTCATCACAAGTAAGCTTCTCGTGTCGTAGCCGGGCCGCAAGTAGGGAACTTAAGCAGCAACGTTCTTAGTCGCAACGGCGACGTAGCCCGTTCAGAAAAAGTGTCCGCCGAGTACGCCGTTCCCGCGGAACTTTAAAAACGTTAAGCAGTAGTGCTTTGCAATATAAACAACGGTGCAAATTTTCTTAGCGTTCAAAACGATAGGAGATAGATATATTTTTGTTCTCTCTTAGTCTATTTATATTTTCAATTTTCTAATTTTGATTAAAATTTCGAATTGGAACATATTTTAAACTGATTATTGTCTATTGTTTCCGATCCACTCAACTAATGAAAATTTCCACCGTGAGTTTCACCAAACAATACCATAATAATGAAGTTAAACTTAATGGGGCTATTAGATGTGATTAAAGTAATCGCTTCAATGGATTAGATGTGATTGAAGTAATCGCTTCAGTCTATGATGTTGATATAAAAGGCATAAAAAAACAGTATTTTTTACATTTTGCCACGAAGACGGCCTGGTCTGCGGAGAAGGGAGTTTTTCGTTTCCCGCAATACAATTGTCACAGCCGAACTCTTAGCGATGGACCTGTCGGGCCTGGTGCAGGAAAAAACGATTCTGTTCGGCTGACCACAATCAACCCGTACTTAATCGAGCAGAAGAGGATCAAGCAATTGCTTACAGTTGATGATAATGCAGTAAACCTTTCGACACGGGAACAAGATCCGCCACCCAAGTTCAGGTTTTTAAATTTAGCTTGCTTCGGTAAGGTTTACTCGGTCCACGTTCACCTTTCGTTTACCTTGTATACCGATTTACTGGAGATGCACACTTGGTTTTCATTGATTTACCGGGGGGTGGCGCGGTTTTTAGTATGCCGGCCTCTGTGGAACGGAAGAGGTACTCTTAGGAAAACCTTATAATTTTTATTTTGTCTACGACGTGATCCTCGTGTTCAGGGCTGGTACGTGGGATGCATGTCATGCTGTCTGAGGGGTAAACTTTCTGTGCATCCCTATCAAACATATATCTATTTTCTGGCTCAGGAAGTATACTGCCAGACGTAATTGCTTGTTAGTAAAACGGCCTTCCTAATAATGTTATTGCGTTTCATTTAAAAACCTACTGATCACTGGCCTTCCTAATTGGGTCTATTGCATGATTTAATTTCCATTGTATACGACTATATAGCAACAGTATCGGATTTTATACTTCCTACTTTGCCGCTTTTAAGTAAGGCAATGGCCCACGTTTACAAATATTGAAAGCAAATCATTTAAATAAAGACTTCGTACGTCACGGGGTGACTCAACGCCCTTCAGTTCTGCGGCGGATTATAACATTTTAATGTATTTGAAAAGATAGCAATCCAATGAAGTTATGCATGCTTATAACGGTATCTGACGTTGAGTTACTCTTTAATTTTTTGAAGCAATGGAAAGTTATTATTATTTCGCTTGTGTAGAAGCGGGGAAAATTATCGCGCTTTTGATGAAGTGGTGGAAATTATTACGCTTTTGATGAAGCGGTGAAAATTATTACGCTTTTGATGAAGTGGTGACAATTATTACGCTTTTGTTGAAGCGGTAAAAATTATTGCATTTTTATAGCTTCGACGCTCGCTTCACCTCGACCATTCCTTGGACTGCCCGAGTTTCCCTTGTTGCGGTTTAAGCTTGTTCCTTTTTTTGGTACTTACATTACTTACGCTTAATTGTCATTTTACAAAGAGGATTCCGAGTGGGAAATTCGACTCTAAACATGGTTTAATTGCACTTCAGTTACACTTTGGGTTAACGTTTATATAACTATAGCTTTGATAACCATAAATACTCGCTGCTCAGTTGTCATTTGAACATTTTAAGGCATTCTTACTAGAAGTTATAGTCAATTTGTAATTCGACAAATTTGTGTTGCTGTTCAGTTAGGAACTATTTTAAATTCCCATAAGTATAATAACGCGCGTTCAACAAAAGACGAGTGGTTTGTATGGAGGGGAGATATATACTGTAGTGGGCCCTGTATTAGAATTGTAATTTAATACAATGCCCTATGTTTACTTTTTGTCCTTCTGTGCCTCTAATTATTTGCTTACATGTCACATTGTCCCTTTGGGGCACCACGCCCAAAACACGTAGACCAGAGAAGTGTCAAGACTGCAGAATATTACACAGAAACAGAGACATCTATGCACCCCACCCGCACCTCAGCTTTGTTAACCACAGGCAAGTTCCCATCTTGCACTACCCAGGATCCTCCTATACAGCGGTTAGGTGCTGTCTTCCACGCTACAAACAACTTTTCCTGATTCCCCTTAGCTTTTCCATAATCTATTCTCACTGCGAGTTTCACCAAACAATACTTTGATGGGCCTTTAGATATCATTAAAGTAATCCCTTCAGGGAATTAGGTCTATATAAAAGGCAGAAAACAGTATTTTTTAACATTTTCCACGAATATGGCACGAATATTGATTTATCAGTTATAAGCCCCATTTACAAGCCCCGTTTACACTACACTGAATTTATCGGCACGGCACGGCTAAAATGGGCACCCGTACCCAATTCTATGAGTGTTCAGGCAACCAAAACAAAGGCCGAGTACAGATGAGATGGGCACGGGTGCCCATTTTAGCCGTGTCGTGCCAATAAATTGAGTGTAGTGTAAACGGGGCTACACTACACTCAATTTATCGGCACGGCACGGCTAAAATAGGTACCCGTACCCTATTTTAATAGTGTTCAGGCTACCAAAACAAAGGCCGGGCACGGATGAAATGGGCACGGGTATTCATTTTAGCCGTGCCTTGCCGATAAATCGAGTGCAGTGTAAACGGGGCTATAGTAAACCAATTACCACATATATGGTTTACCAATTATGCCCTATAGACGTGCATGCAGACGTGTATTTTTCAGCTCTGTCTGTATAGTAAACTAAACTAAATACTAAAGCGAGAGAGTAAGAAATAATTATTATAGTGTTGTTATGAACACTCTTAATAATTGGCAACTTCAACAAAATCGAACAAGAATTTATGCTTTGCATGGACTGGTTACTTTAAACAATTTGTTGCTGAGAAATTGAAATTGGTTGGTTCCTGGTCCCACTCGATGGAGAGAAAAAGCTCTTTAGTTCAGAGAATGTATATATATATATATATCCTGGCGAAGGAATAAGAATTCGTTGTTTATAACCAGGGGCAAGACAAGTGAGATTCTGAGTGAGCTGTTTACACACATTCATGCGTGATTGTGGTGAACAATCCGTGCAAGATCGCAAGCCGCTGTTAGGGAAGCTATCGAAAGCTTTACATTTGGCCAGTCAGTAAACATTGAAGCAGTCCGAACATTGGCAGATTCAATCTTGCATATCTCATCCGTGGTTTCAAGTTTTTTAGAACAAGATTAGAGCAGAAGTTGATCGAGACGAATGTAAATAACGACAGAGGCAGCTTGGACCGCGAACATGCAGAACATCTAAATTTAGTTTCTTAAACAATACTAATGAGGTACTTACTTCTTCTAAACACAAGGAGATTGTAAACCAGCCATTTTCAAATGATCGTATAGGAATTGACGTTGATGCATGACACCTTGCAATTTGATATCAAACCAATTAAACAATCCCGTGAACAATGAAGTAGTAGAATTCATTAGCCAGCTGCATGGATAAATCTAATGGGGCTCAATCAAACATGACTGACGAGACGCTCATTCATAGCGATGTTGGCCGTGGTTGAAGGTGAACAATACCCTGATAGTAATGCCATTACAGATACAGATTCAAAAGTTAAACCTCGTCAAGCTGCGCACACTTTTAAGCTGCGAAAAGATGAGGCAAAACGCTTGTTGAAAATATTGTCAATTTTTAAGACAGCTATAGAGCAAGGAAATTTCTTCAAGAAACTACGGGTAAATGAGTATATATTTTTCGGTGTTTTAATTTAAAGAAAATATTTAAACATTTTATACTGGATCGTCACACAAGACGTGATTGCCGTTCAAACTTGGTTATTTTCGATCATTATTTTCAGATATATCATGTATCGCAAACTTGTGGCTAAAAATCTAGTTGAGTGCCTGAAAACGAGAGCCGGTTTCAAAATAGCCTTTATTCTATAACCTTTTTATTTTTACAGGAATTGTAGTCATAAAAATTATGACTGATGCGAATTTCGACATATTTTTATTAAGACTATGGGTGTGTTATTGTCATTATTTGTGGCTGTTCAAATACTGTTTAAATTAGCAATATTTTGTTTAGATTGTTTCAAAATTATGCTCAATGCCTTCATTTAATGGTATATATCTAAAAGCATGTTTTTTAACCTTCTGTGTTTTTACTCTTGTGTTAGTGAAAAATATCCTTTCTTTTCGCCGAAATTTTGAAGGTTTGTTTGAAAAAAAGTAAATTATTTTAAGATTTTGCCGAGTGCCTCAAAACAAAGTAGGGATAAAAATAATTTCTGTTAATCATAGTTTTTTTGTACAAACTTTTGATTGCTCTCAAAATTCGGCCTCATATAGAGGTCATTAGGCCTAAACATGGGCCTATAAAACGAAATTTCAAAACGCGTGGAAGACATTATGAGCGCTTTACAAGGGTACTCCGACCGTCGCCCGAGCATCCAACGAGTCTGAAATTCCTATTGTTTGGATTTAGAATTCGATTTATTATGCAACAATTATGACTATGCTCAGGCAAAATTTGCACCTCTTCTTTTTTGCCTAAATGTCTCAAATAACCCGACTGTCTCATTTTGCCCCGCGTTACCTTAATGCAGCAGAAAAACGGGTGATTTCACTTTACCTTTTAATACGGCTGTTTTTGTATCCAAAAAATTTGAAACATCAGCTATTGGCTTTACATTTAATTACATTTAGGCCATTTCAACATATTGAAGGTTAGGTCTGGCAAGCTCAGGAAATATTTTGCTTCGTTTGAAATAGCGAGGGGTTGCTGCATGCATGCATGTATTTCTAGTCAGTTATATCTATATGTATATGTGTATATGTGTTTATATATACTGTAGAATAATGCATGATGTAATTCCCATTGTAAACAGCGATTATGCTATTGTAGATAAAAGTAGAGCTATCTTTATATCTATATCTATCTAAGACAGTCGAAGACGTACTTTTCCACGTCGCACTTTGGTTTCGCTGAAAATTATTTCATCCCCATACTGAAACCATACTTCAGCCAAGGTATTGTGCGGTGGAGCGAACAGTGAGAATATATTAATTTATTTTTTTGTAAATCAGCAGCGGGCGGAATCCTAGCATTTCCTGCAATCTGATTGGCTGCAGCAGCGGGCGGAATTTTACGATATCTTGACCACGGTCCGCGGAATCCTGGCAAAATTTTAAAGTCAAGCTAGTTTGTTTTGGAAAAGGTTTTTAACAATGGATGATAGTTATCACTCGGAAAGCGAGTTTTATTATCTAGACGAGCTTGTAAATACCCTAGAAAATGTTAGCGAAAATGTAGAAGAAAACGTAAACATGGACGAAAGTGACGAAAGTTTTATATACAAAATCGCACAATCGTTTTATCCCCACGACGTCCCCTCAATTTGACAAAAAAATAAATACGTTATTTACCGTTTAAGTCGGACCGGATAGAAAAATATTTTCCCTCGGCCTCAAAAACGTCCCTCGGCCTTCGGCCTCGGGCCGTTTTTGAGACCTCGGGAAAATATTTTTCTATCCGGACCTCCTAGCCGGTAAATAACATATATTTATTTTTTTACAAATCAGCAGCGTGCCGAATCCTAGCCTTTTTTGCAATCTGATTGACTGTAGCAGCGGGCGGAATTTTGCCATATCCGACCACGGTCTGCAATCCTATATTTTATGCTAGAGCGAAAGCGTGCTTTGTTTTGTTTTGTTTTTCTAAAGATTTATTCGCAAATTTTACTTTTTTTTTTAAATGTATGAGCCAAATATGAAATAATTATCACGATAAATTGAAGTAAATTTTAGTACATTAAACGAATGCGGTTTTAATTGTTTATGTTTTTGTGACTACTGCTGAGTCTGACTACACAATTATAATTCGAACGAACTCTGCTTTTCGTAAAAAAATTAATTTACCGATTTACAGATTAACGTTATTTACCGATAAAAAATTAATATTTCCCCTCGGTCTTGAAAACGTTCCTACCCCCCCGAAAATATTTTTTTACCCGGACCGAGCCAGCGGTAAATAACATATATATCATGAAGAGATGAATAGTTGAAGTAAAAAAGTTAATTACTGATTACATATAGCATTAAAAGGAATTTTTAATGACATACCTTATTAATTTTTTTTTCTTTCCGAATAAACTTCGAATCCTTTATTTAGCGCGCTAGTATTAATAACTTTATGAGTGAATAGCGGAATTGACTGAATTTTTGCTGGTTAATCAACATGCACACCGCATTTGCAACCGAACGAGAAAAGTTTAACACATGCATGCATTTGTTAATGACGAAAAGTTTTTAGTCGTGTTGCATGCGATTTTGTAACACTATAACCATGCCATTATAACATATATTTAGCATTCGCCAGTTTAATAAAAGACAATTTATATTAAATGTAAGTTGTTTAATTCGTGCATGGAACATTGAAATGTTCGCGTATCGGAAATATTATAATAAAACGTACTGTAGCCATACATTTCTATTTTTCAATTATCAACATCTCGCGTTCAGCCCGTTGTAGACCTACTTAAGAGAAAATGCAGCTGTTATATAGAGATAGAAATTGTTATCAGAGGAGGTAAATTAGTTTGTTTTCCCAAACAGATCATTATGACCATTTATATGCTGTGAAATATGACGAGCTCGTTCAAATTTTACCTTTCAGAATTCGACTAACAGAGATTTAGACTCCAAGGCTGCGCTATGGATTCCACTTCATCCAGTTACCAGGCGAGTTCAAACGCCGCGCCCCTAAATGAAGTTATGTCAAAGAAGGATCGACGAGCACAGTTAGCGAAGCTATTCATCGTGGCGTTTGTTTCCATTGGAATCGTTGCTCTTACTGTATTCGATGTGATTCAAACAGCTAAATCTCTAGAGAAGAAAATCGAGCTCACAGATAAAATTCACGCTAGTATCGATGCAGCTATGTTAATTCATAGTTTGCAAAAAGAGAGAGGAATGACCGCATTATACTCTACTCAGAGTCTGTTGAACTCCGACAGACGTAAGCTACGGCAATTTCGGGAAAAAACGGATGAAACTATTGTTAAATTGAAGACGAGAAATAGTGGAAGCCTCGATAAACTATCGGGCGGTAAAGAGCCATTTGTGAACATTTTAAAAGAAAAAAAGCGTATAATTGACGAAGGAGAAGCATCAACCATTGAAATTTTGAAGAAATACCGAGAATGGATTGATGAGCTAATTTCTACGCTCGCAGAATATTTGAGGTCGGAAAACGCAGGGGGATTCGCGAACTTAGTTTACGCATACGAATTGTTAATCATGAGCAAAGAAGAAGCTGGGATGGAACGAGCACTTGGTGGTTTGAGATTTATAGAAGGAAAAAATTTCAGCCATGCAAACAAAACATGGTACATACAGAAAAGCACTCTTGCTCAACAATACCTCAGAACTGGTTTCTTAATTTCGAACGAAATGAAGGACATTCATTCCTCTGTATTCGCTAACAGGTCGCATTTGATGAAAGAAATTGAAAGAAAAAGAAAAGTCTTATTCAGTGAATCTCACACAGAACCATCTAAAGAGGATGGTCTCGAATGGTTTGATTTGATGACAAAATACAATAACGCATTGTTGGAATTACAGAGGAGGCAAGCTGACATGATTAATGCAATGGTTGACAAGACAGTTGCTGAAAATGCAAATCAACTCGTCATCCGGTCGATGCTTCTGTGCTTTACCTTGATTATTGTGCCAGCTATTATTTTATCGTTAGGAAGGGTGCAGAAACATTTCTATGAATATACGTTGTCATTGTTCGATAAAGTTGGTCTAGAGCAAGCGAGAACGGACTTTTTAATGAGACAAAATTCAAGATACATTGAAAGTAAGTTGCTGTATAGCCATAGATTCTTGGCAAGTTGTTCAGAGATAGGTTAGCGCTGTCTCTGAGTGATATTTTAATCTACCCCTTTAGTTCATATGCTTAGCTTTTCTACTGCTGTTTCTTTCAAACCTTAAACAATTTAAATTCCCGTTGATCTATAAAATATTTCATTACCTCATTGGTCGAACTATTCGAGACCAGGGTCGCAGTGAACATACGTCAATATAAATTTTCGGTTTATAATACACTTTTTTAGAGGCTGCTATAAAAGTTAATTTATGTAGATAACTTGACCTCCAGACTATGCGTATTTATTGAATAATATAATATTTCATACACTTCAAATTCAAAATGCATAATCAAAAAACATTATTTGTACCATGTGACGCGGATATTTATTGCGGTATCGCATCCCAGTCCCCTATTTCCGAGTTGGGGGTGTGACATTAAATTCATCATGCGACGTCTACGGAGGACTAAACGCACCCGCTAAAAATAATGGCGGGAGTAGTGTTGTTGTTTCATTGGCAGCCCAGAAATGTTTTCATTCTCTTGGCGCGCGTGCACGCGAGCTACTCGGCCTATTATTATGACAAGGTTGGCATGGTTTAATAAGATATATAACAACATTTGCTACCGCCTGAATATCTTTCAAATTACAATTAACAAAAATAATATAAAAGTTTCATTGGTTTAAACGCCGGTAATTTGAGTCCATTCTTCTGAAGTTTTAACATAAACGTTAATTTTAAGGATGCCAGAAAAGCAAATGTTTATCGAGATTTTGGACCAAATTTTGTGAAAACCATGCTAGTGGCACCTACCCTGTGGTGTCGTCATCATTAATTTTTGAATTGCAAACTAGAAAACCGATTGGCTGTCGTTCTTTCCGAGTTGGAAATTTCGTACGCTGGAGCCAATCAGTTCACTATTTGCAATTCAAAATGATGACGACATCACAGGGTTGGTGCCACTAGTATATGCATGGTTTTGACAAAACTTTTTCGAAAATCTCGATAAATGTCGAAAATCTCGAGAATGTAGTCAAATTACCGCGTTTAAAGCGTTATAATTTTTATATTCTTTAGTATTTGTAATTTCAAAGATATTCAGACGTTAGGAAACGTCGTAATATATATTATTAAAAAACTTTCCAACCTTGTCCTAATAATATAGACCGAGTAGATTCGCGTACAAGCGCGAGCGTCACGAGAACGAGAACATTTCTGAGTTTCCTATATGGTTGTTTGTTTGAAATAAAGGGAATAAATTAGCGATTCTGACGAGAGAATTAATCGTATCCTGGAAGAAGGACATACAGAGAACACAAAAAAGTTGTCTAATGTTAAAATACGTTTTACGGTAATTTCCCCCCGCCTTTTTTGAGTACTTTTACTGATTTATAAAAAGAATTATCCCAACCTTTTCACTGCCTGTTTGGCTATTCTACAAACTCACAAAATAAAGCCCTAGGAAAATATCATAAATTCGGGAAATATTTCGCTGAACCCCCCTCAAGATCGAGACAGACCGGACGCGATGCGGCAACTTGGCGAGTGGTAGTAAAAAAATTGTCTTCGTATGTAATCTACGAGAATATTAGGATTATAGTTTTAAATTTATACATTTCATTTGAAAAATTAAAAACATTGAAAATTCGCGTCGCGTTGCCAAATCCCGTCTGGCCTTCACTCCAGGTCTATAAAATGATAAATGTATAAGCTATGGAAATGATGCACTAATTTCAAGATGGACCATACAGCACTTAGCTCCCTAGAAAGCTTCCTATTTTTGAATAACATATTTCTATCCAGGGCAGTATAGTTTTTTGGAAATTGATTGGATGGGGAGTGAAATATTCATATATTCATGCTGAAATATATAGCGTAAAAACCAATCGCTATCGAAAGAAAACTGGCAAGCATAAGACGAGTGTATGAATATTTGCCCTTCCTCCATGCAATTATAGGCTGATAATGTGACATAATTTTAAAAAACTTTTCCTCACAATTGAAATTTTAGATTTGTCACAGAAGTGGAGGGATTTTTCCAATCAGAACCATAGCGCGAGTTCCAGCAACAGAGTGGCTCCCAATGCTGTTGTAATTGGTAGCCATTGAAAAAAAATGTCAAAGAAATGAAAGGAACTTGTTGCTGGTTATTCCAAATACTGAGTGTTTTTAAGCAGTCGCAGTTTACCTATGTATATTCAATGTATTTGTGCATGGCTTTGAATTCGAAGGATTATAAGGGCATATAACCAGCTAACAGGTTAAATTATTTGAAGTAAAACCACTAGGTCTGCGCTGTTTGTGATTGTTCTTATTACCTTGGGTCGGTAGACACAAGGTCATAAATTCGGCTTTGTTTTTTTTATTTTTTTTTTGGTGGGGTTCTAGGCAGCAGTCTCCCTCGCGGCCACGGCGCATAAATTACTGCAACTTTTTACTCTTCAATCTTCGAATCGCACGACATTTACGAATCCTGTCTATTTAGACAGGTTTCGATATTTTAATACTCTACATTCAAATACTTAGCTATTCACCATTGGATTATAGCTTCGCAAGCACAATTGCTTCAATTCATTTTGTCGGTTGTAGAAGAAAAGCCAAAGGCATTTGATGGTCAGGGACCCTGATTCGTAAACAATTACATTGGAATGGTCAATTTTCATATGTGGCAGAATGAATCATGCAGTCACGGAGCTTTAGCAAATAGTTTAATAGTCTTTTAAACCATGGTTTATACCACACTAAAATTTCCAAACAAACCCTATATGCACCGACCCAAGGTAAACGCCGAGCCGGCGTCTTGTTGACCAATAAAGACCTGTCTCTATGTATTTAGATAATCATACGACTATACCCTTGTTTTGTAAATTGCAAAACGCGAACCGTCCTGTAACTCCCGGTGGCCGAATCACAGGCTCGATGCAGATAGCTACAAGTCAAATGGGATATTCGACGTAACTCAACCACAAACGTACAACTAATAAATTTTAATCAACTAGAAACAAGGGCCTTCGTAAAAGTCACGCAACGTGCCGAAGTAGCGAGATACTTGGACTGGTATAGCACGATGTGTATAAATCGTATTTAGGTGTAGATAGTATACTGTAGATGCGTAGAATGGTAGCTAAATTTTAGATTAATGAAACGACGAAGAGGTAGATATAGATGTAGCAGGTGTAGGTTCGAACTGAAATATGAGAGTAAAAAACTACTGAGCTAAATTGCTTAAACTATGCAAAAAAAACACGATGTCAATGTCATTAACCAACTAACTATAAACAATAAACAATATATAACGAATAACTATTAAACTTAGCTACGTACTTTGGTTTACACTTGTACTCCAATTGTCGTAGATAAATTTTAGTAATTTGCACGCAATTGGCCGTCTTTACCATACGATATAGTGAAAGTTATTTTAGTTTAATAGCTTAGCTAGTTTAGAAGCTATTATGAATCAAACCGGAGTACTTTTTTCTTAGACACCCAGTACAATTAACAATGATAATCAGTCTGATGAGGAAGAAGATGAAACCATCACTGTGTCAAGCAACGAGGACTATAACTATTACCAGTCAATGGAGTGGAAAGAGTTGTGGAAACAGAATTGTTGGAGATAAACATGACACAACCACATATGCCCCATAAACCTGTCGGCAACCAATTGAAGTTGCTGCAAGGAAGCAAAAGTGATGTACATTTTGCAAACAACCAGGACATAATAAGAGTAAATGCCACCTACTTAAATTTCAATCTCAACCCACACAGTCACAGGACAAAAGACCACACCCAGGTGGTACTAGCACACCTGGTCCACAAATAGCTGGATTTCAAATCAAGCCTACAGCAATGGGCAGTTTTACTATTTGGAACTTTCCTTTTTGTGTTTCACAAAACACTATCAATGGACGTGTAGGGAGCCTGATTTCACTGCTACTAGCTAAAGCCTGTTAACGAATGAAGCTACACCACAACTTGAAAAAGATCAACCTTTATCAGTACATTGAAATACTGTGATAGTGTCATGTATACTTGGTGGGAACAGCGTATATGATAGCTGCATCACTCACGGGAGGTTTCGTAGCGTTGTAGAGGCAGCACCCTTCGTCGCCTGTAGGGTTGGAGAAGTTAATTTAAACGAGGAACTCACAGTATTTTTTGCTAGAGAAGATGATGCACCTGAAGAATCTGCACTCTCCAGCCAGATCACCAATTACTTGGAGTTTAACGACCACGCTGCCGCCCTTGTTATTGTTAACGGAATGACCATCACTTTTGTCAAACAAGAGAACGCCATTACCCTTTTCGATACCCAAGTCCCAAGCCAACTTCGAGCACAACAACAGAGCAACGGTTTCGATGGTTCCCAAGGAGACTTTAAAAGATCTTCTTTTATGGATAAAAGCACGAATCAGCCGGACAGTTAATCTATGTACCGTCACCTCCCATGAATGTGATGTATAGATTTTTCGAACGTAAGAATATGTAAAATTAATGTGTAAACCGGAATATTTAGGACAATCCTCATTAAATTTCTATCCAAAATCCCTGGAATACAAACATTTTCTTAAAAAAAAAGGCAAACAGGTTATTGGTCCTTTTTCGTCCTCCGATCGCCCACATTTCCTCTTAAAACGTCCCGAATTTACGCTCACATCGAGTAAACCGCCATTTTCGAACATTTTAAACCTCGCAACGAACGCGTACATATCGCATATGCGCAGACGTTTTCTGCGGTGTTGCTAAAATCCATATACCATCCTCAATGCTGTCTCAGTTCCATCTCAGGGGTTCTTGCCAAAGTTCGTTAAATGTACAGTGCTGTGCAAAAGTTTTAGGCCCCCAGTCAAATTGTGACTTGTTAGTAAAATTCATGGTTTTGCAAGACATGCTAGGTAGAAAGACTTGTAGTGGTCTTGCACTTGGTACAGCCACCATGAGAGACCATTATTGCGGCACAATGCCCAGTCATTGACCTAACAGGCTTGTTTGTTACATCTGGATCAACAGCCTCACGTGATGCGAAAATGGTCTCTCATTCTTCCAGATGTCGAGATGGTTTTCTATCTGACCTCTTCTTCACTTATTCCAAGAGATATTCGAACAGGTTTAGGTCAGAATTCTTTCGTTGCCCTGAACTGATTGATATTTCTTTCGGTGGGGCTTTTTTCTCTGTCACATGGTGCCCTATTTTGTTCAAAGTCTCAACCGCAAAGCTCTCTTCACCTTTTAGAAGTCCCAAGATCGTAAATTTTCGACTAGATACGGAAAATGGTATGTTTGGCTTGTATCTAGGACTTTCCTAATAGATGAGATGGCTTTGTGGTGGAGATTATATCTTCCAGTAAGATGGGGGCACCATGTCATTCAGAAAAGAACCTGAAAGAAAGTGATATTGACCAGCCCAGGGCTATAAGAGATTGCTGACGTAGACCTCATTGAACATTTTTGGGAATAAGTGAGGAAGAGGTCAGATAGAAACCCATCTCGACATCTGGAAGAATGAAAGAGACCATTTTCGCATCACGTGAGGCTGTTGATCCAGATGTAACAAACAAGCTTGTTAGGTCAATGAGTGGGCATTGTGCCGCAATAATGGTCTCTCATGGTGGCTGTACCAAGTGCAAGACCACTAAAAGTCTTTCTACCTAGCATGTCTTGCAATACCATGAATTTTACTAACAAGTGACAATTTGACTGGGGGCCTTTTGCACAGTACTGTAGTTTTTTGTGGCAATCGAAAAATATCAGAAATCCCATTGAGACTAAAAATAAATCAAAAACACTCGCGATGGAAATTTTCAACATACGTTTGATGGCTAAAATTCCAGTTAGACAATAAGTTTTCTGGGAAAACGCCAACAGAGAGTAAAGGTTGATGGAATCACGACGGAGTATGTGAAAACCAATAGGTGTGTTTCTCAAAGGAGGTCCATTCTCAAAGGAGGTCGTATTATTTTCTATTATGGTTAATTATATCAGAACGGTCTACACTATAAGAACGATTTAGCGAAATTTGCAGCCAACTTAATCGAAAACCATGGTTGAAGATCTTAGGAATAATTTTAGAAGACCTGCCTTATAAATGGGATTTACGATTTGATGAAGTGATATGAAAAGTTAGCTCAAGGATGTATATCATGCATGTCCGTAGCCATTATGGTTCGCCACAATGGCCTGGATCTTGTGTTAACATGCGGTTCTTAGCTTTGGGGAGGTGCTTAATTGTTAGGCATGGCAACCATATAAATATATCAGATCGAAAAATTAATCAGACGTGCCTATACAGAAACAGATACATATCAGAGGAGATAAACTTTGCGGAAATCATCTTCAAAAAAGACTTAAAATTATGGAACAATATAATGAGTAATAAGAACGATGATCTGAATAGACCTTGAGACACAGAGGGCGCGAATTCGAATTGCCGATTGTGAGAACTGAACGATTTTTAAAAATATTCCTTTATAAATAGATGCCTTTTTAAGCCGTCAGCAATTTAACTGCCATTTTGAAAACAATTTTTTTTAAAAAATGTTTCGAAAACACAATATGAAATGTGGAATGGGAATAAGAGTTTAAAATATCATCAGAACTAGAAGAGTTAGCGGTGAAAAGGAACAACTCGCAGTTTATAATCCTTGAAATGGTAGGTGTCTACTTTGTTTATTTCGAGGTTTATTTCGTGTTTGCTGTACGAATACATTTTATGACCTTGGTACAGTAAGTCGTTTTTGCTCGGTTTTCGAAAAACAACATTCGACGTTTTAATACTGCTTGGTTATTTATATTATTTGTGCTCTTTTGATTTTTTGAAGGTTTAGGCTCTTAGCTATAGTGAAGTATTAACTCTCACTTAATTAAACTATGAAACTCTATAACTTCATGCGGCGGGGCAAAACGAGACGCTTAGGCAGTCCGACTATCATAAAAAAGCAAAAAGGCATGTTTAAATTCTTTTAAGCAGATTCCAACCAATCAATGCAGTGAAAAAACCCTGGGTTTTCAGGCAATATTGTGGCATTTATTCAAGAAACACGACTGATGGTAAACGTCTCATTTTAGCCAAACCTATAATGTGGTAAAATGAGACAAATAATAAATGTAAAGAAATTTTTAATAATTTGAATTAATTTTAATTGTAGGATAAAAATAAGATCA